TCAACAAACTTGAAAAACTATTCAAGAAAGTGCATGGGGTTAGCTCCATTCTGGGTATTGAGGATAGATATATTGAATCCGCCATTACTTTGCCGGAGCAGTTCAAGATGCCGTATATTGACCGCTTCGATGGCTTTGGAGATCCAATGGTGTATCTGCGCCTTTTTTTTGATATTCTGTGACCAATGGGTTTGACCTGAGTTCAGAAGCTGTCGCTATTCGGCAGGACCATGTCTAGTATAGCTGTCATCTGGTATGCTAAATTGGCGGACTCTGTGAAACAAGATTGGCAGGAGTTGGCCAAATCCTTCGTTGCCCAATATTCCTACAACACACTGATCGAGGTCACAACTCGTGATCTTGAGGCAACGTATCAGGAATCGAAGGAGGGCTTCTCAGAGTTTGTTATTCGATGGAGGGCAAAGGCAGCTATGATGGCAAATAGGCCTCTAGAAAAAAAGCAAGTTTGTATCATTGTTAGAAATCTGCATGAAAAGCTATTACAAAAAATGATAGTCTTCCCAATATTCCACTTTAAGGACCTCCACGAAATTGGGGTTCAAATCGAGGATACCATCAGACAAGGGATCACTGTGGAAGGTAATGAGCCTTTGAGGAAGAATGTTGTTCGCGGTTCCAATGCTACGACCAGTGGTAGCACAGCTGTGAAATGCTCAGAAGTAAACATTGTCACCACTCCCATCAAAAACCCTTTTTCGTAATAATAGCCAAAAACGAACCACTTCAACTCAGTCCCAAGCCCGAAATTTCTATCCGTTTTACATGAATCTTTCTTAAGCCTTGAAAATGCTGCTAGAAAAAGGGCACCTAGAGCTCCTAGAACCCCGACCTTTCCAAATCCTCTTCTACTAAGGCATGACCCTACTAAGTACTGTGCATATCATCAACAACATGGTCACGATACAAACCGTTGCATCCACCTCCATCATAAAATTCAGGATCTTATTGATGAAGAGATCATAGCTCCACTAAAAAGACCTCAAGTCACCACAAACCTATTACCTCCCCACCTCAACCTAATCCATACATTGTCATCCATCTACAACCCTAGCATATATATCACCCCAGCCTACTTATCCAAGCCTGAGGTGTTCATTCTAGAAAGCATGTACTTGTGTATGATGGATGCACTTGAACCCCAATCATCTCTAACCCCATCAAATACAAAATAGGCACTAATGGCCAAGCCCACTACTTCTGAGCTGTTAAGCATGATTGAAGATCTTCAGAGAACTGTGGTAGATTTAGCCTTTGAGATCTTGGTTCCATTATCAACCACATCACATGCCAGGAATTTCACGTCAAAAGGCTCCTTAATCTTGGGATGAGCTGCAATTGGAAAGGGCCAACCCTAAGCTATCTCAAGTCTGGGTAATGACATGTCAACAATGAATGCGCCTCACTTTGATATAACCGCCCAATCTCTTGGCAAAGATGAAACAAGTGGCAAGAATAAGGTCGGGGCAAGCATTGATCCCTATGAACATCTTCAGTGGGCTATTGAGGCTTTGAAGGTCAAAAGACTGAACAAACAGCAAGTGCTTGCAGTTGTTGCAAAGACTGTGGATGACACTTTTATTGTTCAGGTTGGGAACATTTTGAATCTAGGGATAAACCATGAAAAGGGCTGTCGTACCAAAAACACCCACCCGTAAGAGATTGTAAAACCTAATCAACACCAACCGACCCCTCTGTCAATCCTGTCAGGACTAGTAACCGCACTTTCAATCCCCTTTTCATGACCTTATCCAAAACTCTCCACATCCTCATAGGACAAGGCCATCTCAAACCCCTTGACCCTCAGCCTCTTCCTGATCGCCTTCCAACCAAGTATAATGCTACCAAGAACTGCACCTTCCTTCAACAAACCGGCTATAACACTGACCGTTGTTTTCGCCTTTGCCATAAAGTACGAGATCTGATTGACAACAAGGTTATCGCTTCACCAAGTCCTACAAAGTCTATCGGTGATGGATTAATGAACTTGGGAGATAATGGGGCTAGTTCTGCGATTGAGGATAAATCACCTGTTGATGGCACGCACTAGGTTTAGCACTATGAAAATGTTGTTTATGTAACTTTCTAAACTGAGTGTTGAGTCGGTCTTGTTATGTCATGTCAGAGTTAGGTGATTTCAGGAATGTTACCTCAGACATCACTTTCTTGTTTTGTGTTTGCCTTTTGTAGCCTGTTTCTACCATTGAGCCAGTTAAGCTAAGTTCTGAATGAAACGGTAGTAATTTTCACCTACTTCTCTGTGCCTTTAAATCATTACATTGACCAAAGTTTTTTAAAACGGTTTCCAAAATTGTGATGAAATCAAAGAGGGAGGAATTCCTCGAGATTTGTAAAAATTTGATCAACTGAAAGGAAGAGATGAGTGCTAAGCCCTTAATGAATGAGATAATTTCTATTAACGTAAATACTAAGAAGGATCCTAGCTTGATCCAGATTGGTTCTACATTGTCTTTAGAAGAGCATGAGCGACTAGTCGCTTTATTAAAAGATTTCAAAAATATTTTTGCATGGTCCTATGAAGACATGCGTGGAATCGATCTTGAGATTGTATAGCATAGAATCACTCTCAGTTTCGAGACTCGACCCTTGATTCAGAATGTTCAACAGTCAACCAAAATATGAGGCTTACATGGCCGAATTCAAAACAACCCTTAACCTAGGGGCAATAAGGTCGGATGTCATCAAAGGAAGTTTGCATAGTTAGATTAGAAACATCCCTTGAACTAGGGGAAAAAATGTCAGATGGGTCATTTCTCAACCCAATGAAGATTGGCAAGAAAGCCAAATCCCATAATCTAAAAGACGAAAATTTATTGTTAAAGGACAATCGAGTTTCTATATGCGGCACTAGGGGTAAATTCAGACCTAATTGGATGGGCTCTTACATCATTAGGGACAACAGCCATTCTCGTGGATTCAGGTGGCTTAGAGATCCTACGGACAATCAACATGAACAAGTTAAACTTTTCTATCCTTGAGAGGCTCGTTGGGCCGAAAACCTGGAAGGGCGACCCAGGCAAAAATTAGAGCAAGAAAAAGAACAAAAATGAAAAAATGGAAATAAAGAAAAAAGAGAAGAAAAAGAAAAAGAAAGAAAAATGAAAAGGAAAAAATAGAGCTTGCGATGTTGAAAACCTGGAAGGGCAGCTTTGGCAAAAGTTAGAGTGCAAAAGGAGAGTGTTATTACCCAAGTGCACCTTAACCCAGCAACTATGTAAGGCCTGATTCCCATATTTGGGATACGTAGGAAACTTCAGCTTGCTAGTTTGGCCCAACTATTTTCAGCTTGCTAGTTTCATCCATGTTGATTGGCTGATCCTTATTCGACTCGGCATCCTATCCATGTACAAATTGGCTCATCTTCGTTCAAATTCGATTATCCTATTCCGTTAAAAGATTCAGCTGCAAGACAATTCATGTTTGGATTGGAGGTTGTGCATCTCAAGAGCTAATTCCACGTTGGTTGAGCAGTGGCCATTTGCAAACATAGTTTTTAAGGATTTTTAATGAGGTTGACTAATTTTCTTAAAAATTATTCCATTTTTACAAAACTGGACCACTTCTTGGACCCAAAAAAGGAAAAATTTTAGTGTTCATAGCCTGACTTACATGATTTCAAGCGTGCTAATCTAACTCTCATGTTGGTCAAAATTGTATTAGCAGAAAGCTAAAAACAAAAAATGGTCAAAATAATGAACTAGGGGCATAGTTGAGTCAGGTTTTCTGTCTTTTCTCCATTATCAATGCACTTGTCAGGAAGAGCATAACTGAAGCTAGCAGCAAGGGCCAAAAACTTCTAATCCTTCAAACAGCGAGGTATCGAGCCAAGTGCGAAGCACGAACTGGAAATGGAACAGGGTATTCCACCCCTTCATCTGGACAAGTTTGCTCACGCTTGAACTGGCATCTAAACCGGAACGAGAAGTACCAATCAACTGTATACCTGGCTGGCGAGATATGCTGTAACTCATCTCAGTCAAGTTAAGTTAGGGGCATTGCTGAGCGATGTCAATTGAAGATCTGCTGCACATCCAGCCGCACCACAACCCCTCTGTGGGAAAGCTCATTAGTTATGAGTGAAAAAAAAAAAGAATCTACCAGAGTACTAGGGGCAAGGGTCCACAACTTTCAGCTTATCCAGCAACCACACCTGGGAAGGGATAAAAAATAAGAGAGATGTGCACTGAGAGAAAAAATAAGAAAAGGGCTTTTCAAAGAAAAAGAGATTGAGTGCCAAAGTGATGTGAGAATCATGAATAAGAAAGGGTGGAAAACAATACCTGGAGAAGCAGTGGGCTCCCCCCGTGAACCGAGAGGTCTCCCATCAGTGGAAAACACCTAAGTGTTGGGTTTGTGGTTTTTGTTTGTCTTAAGTCTTGTTTTCAGTTGTTAGATTTCAGTGAGTAGATGCATTTGGGTGGTTTTTACTTTGTTTTTCCTTTGTTGAGTTCGAGTTGGTTTCAATTTGAAAATAAATCGTTTCGTGCTCAGAGTGCCGTGCCATTCCTAATAGGATGTACAAAACAAAATTCCTTCTTTCATAAACTGCAGGATTCAAACCTCGATCAATTGACAGGCAATGGAACCACGACCTATTTGAAGCTACATAGGTTTTGGACTACAAAGCAAAAGAGGTACTTTGTTTGTTTACTGCGATTCATCGCCACTCACTGTCACGCCCCACTTTTTATTACTCGGAGTCATTACCAAATTCTTAACTTAATCCAATTTCAGAGATAACATGCGGAAATAAACTCATACATTTAATCCGTAGAAATGATTAACAATACTCTCATTCGTATGCAAAGTAAACATTACATGAACTAACTTAATAAATTGCCCTTGGGCTTACATCATTAAAAGTACAAGAAGAAGGGTGTAACCCTTTACAACAATGGCATTCCGCCAACATAACTGAGGCCCCGTGGCCAACATATCTGACAGCTTTTGAGGCATATTACTTTGGCTCATGGAAAACTGTGGAGCGCTTACAAATTAGGAATGGGGTCATAACCATGCTTTTGTTTGATTATGGAGATTTAATTGAAGAAAATGTTCCCATCTCCAACTTGCGAATAAGATCAAGAAAAGCCACTTTGTCAGATTGCACCTGCTTTCTAAGGCCTGGACTTGATATTTGTGTGCTATCGACCCCTCAAGGTACTGAAGATTCAAGTGATGATGAAAATCAGGATCCAGTAAGTTCCCATTTATTTTTGCCTGGAGCTGCTAAATTCTGTGCTTTGTAACATTGTAAAGTTTGATCACAACATAGTTCACATCACACTGTTACTGTTAGTGAGTTGATATTTGATGTCTGTGCATTATGTTGTGGTAGTTTAAGTAATATGTTGCAGCAAATATACAATCCCACTTATTTTACTCTTTTAACGTCTTCAGATTTGATAAATCTTTCTTGTGTCTGGAAATGCCTAGGTTAATAGTTTGCATAATAGGCGTCTGTTTGGTTGCATGAATCTGCACTTCTAGTGAGTGGCATTCCTTCTGGTTGGGCATGCAATAGTTTACAATTTATACTATTGCCTTGATTATGCATGAGTGCTCACAATTTCTGTCCCTGTACATCATATGTTTGATGAATTTGAAGTTTCTATGTTTTAGTTTACTAATTTGATACTCTGTTGTAGATTTTGTTTTGCTGTAATCGTACCATATGGACCATTCTATGCCTTGTTTCTTTGGACAATATACAGATTCTGGTGCTGTGGTGTTACCTAATACACTACTTGCACCCATTTTTGTACTTCTTTGCCCCATAAAATAACTCATGCTAGCACAGGGAGATAGTGACACAAGTATTGCAATTGACCAAATATGTCTAAATTTTTTAAGATTCCCTCATTATTGCAATACACAAGACAAGTGATTTTGTTTTTTAGCCTACTTTCGCTGGTCATCTCTTTGATTCTCCTTCCATGCTCAACCTGTTCTTAGTCAAGTTATTTCTTCATGAAATACTTGGTTTGTTTAGTTTAGACATACATGTTTGCCTCTGTATAAATTGGCTTGCTTTGACAAGTGTATATGTCATATTGCAAGATTATTATCTTCTACGTTTTTCTGATGTAGATCTGGGTGGATGCTAAAATAAATTCTATTGAGAGGAAGCCTCATGAACCTAAATGTACTTGCCAATTTTATGTTAGCTTTTATGTTACCCAAGGCCCTCTTGATATGGCAAAGAAAACACTCAGTAAAGAGACCGTCTTGGTGCAACTTGATCAAATTTCCATCCTTCAAAACCTGAATGGAAGCCTTGTGAAAATGAGCATTACCGTTGGGAATTCTTTGAGGATTGCTCCTGTTCTCCATGTTCCTAAGTTTTCTGTTAATCTGTTATCCTTAAGTCGTCTTACCCAAGATTTGAATTGTAGTGTGACGTTTTTTCCTGATCATTGTCTTTTTCAGGACCTTGTCACGGGGAGGACGATTGGCAGTGGTAGTGCAGAAAATGGTCTCTACTTCCTAGATCAACCGGACAAACTTGCTTATTCTTCCACCACGTCTTCTACTACCCCCGCTGATGTATGGCTGTGGCATCGGCGTCTTGGGCATCCCTCATTTCATTTACTTAAGCATTTATTTCCTTCTAGTTTCGCAAATCATCATGTGTCTGACTTTCTTTGTGAGTCTTGTCAACTTGGAAAACAACATAGAGCTTCTTTTGCTCCCAGTTTGAATAAAAGCTTAGTTCCTTTTTCATTAATACATTCTGATGTTTGGGGTCCCTCTCGTGTTCTGTCTATGAAAGGTCATCGCTGGTTTGTTACATTTATTGATGATTTTTCTCGTGCTACTTGGGTGTATCTCATGAAAGATAAGAGTGAAGTTTTCTCTGTGTTTCGCACTTTTCATAAGATGATTTGTACTCAGTTTGGGGCCACCATCAAAATATTTCGTTCTGATAATGGCGAGGAATACATAGATTCTGGGTTAGGAAACTATTTCTCTACTCATGGCATTATCCATCAGACCTCTTGCACCAATACCCCTCAACAAAATGGGGTGGCCGAACGCAAGAATCGGCACCTTCTTGACATGGCTCGGTGCATGTGTTTTTTTATGAACGTGCCTCAACCCTATTGGGGCGACGCTGTTCTCACCGCTGCCCATCTTATTAATCGTCTCCCTACCCAGGTCTTGGACAAAAAGGCTCCGCTTCACGTCCTCCTCGGTTCTCAGTCCTTGTTTTCTATTCCTCCCAAAATATTTGGTTGTGTCTGTTTTGTCCATAATCACTCTCCCTCTCGTGGTAAGTTGGACCCTCGCTCCCTCAAGTGTGTTTTCCTTGGTTACTCTCCTACTCAAAAGGGGTATAAATGTTACCACCCTCCTTCTCGTAAGTGGTTTGTGTCCATGGATGTCACTTTCTTTGAGGCCCAGTCCTTTTTCTTGTCCTCTCCGGTGTCACCGTCCTCATTTCCGGGGGAGCCTTGGTGTGAAGTGAGTCCTGTGCCTCCTATGATAGAACCAGTTGTTCTT